TGTTTTGGGTCTTTGTGTATCCTTGCATGTGAAATGGTCTGGATGTAACATGCTGTTGGGATAGGTGTATGCTGGGGTGTCTCCTGGAAGGCATTGTGTTTTTTGATGGTGAGAGGACCCCAAACTGCCGTTCAAGGATCCCAGGAGTGAACAGAAGGGACTTTCATCAAATCTCTGCAGGATGTCACAGGACAGAGAAAGTACACACATTTACTCAGTGGGGCCCCATGAGGTGGCATAGGCAAAGTACAGGGAGGTTGAGTAAAGAAAAAACTCTGGTGAATCTGTCCAAAGTGAGGCCAAAAGTTGGAGAAGTGGTGAGCTATCTGTCACAGAGGGTATCCAAGTGATAGATGCTATGGATCTACTTATTAGCTGCTTGAAGGCCATTATGGATAGGAACACAACTGGGCCATTTTCAAGGTCACTGACACCTCTAGGATCCCAGGATATTTGCTTCTGAATGCACAGAAGCCACCTCATTCACTAATTATTTCACTCATTCATTCATCCTAAAGAGGTCTTTCAAGTACATCTGAAGTACGGAGCCAACATTGGGTTCTGGAGATACAGTCATGACTAAGATCCTGTGCTTTCCCTGGAGAAGCCCATGGCCAAATTGAGAAACACAATTAAATTATTAGCTGCAAAGAAGTCCATCTAATAATAGAAGAGGCTGGCTCTAACTGGGGATGCAGTGGGGTGAAGGAGAGTGAACAGAGAAGACTCCGCAAAAAAGATGCTTACACTGGGTTTTGAAGGATATGTAGGAGTTTGCCAGATGAACTCAGGTGAAAGGGAATTTCAGGCAAAGGGAACACCTTATAACCAACAATAAGGGCCAGAAACAAGGCTGTAGGGGCATTTGGGGTGAAGTCATTAAGAACCTAAAGAATTTGAAATTTGTCCTGAAGGCAATGGCAAGAGGAGTAACTGGGTCCTATTCACAGTTATAATGATCTCTCTGATTACAGTGGAGAATGGATTGGAGGGGACAAAACCAAAACAAAAGGAACCAATGAGGAGAATTGTGGGAAAGTATTTTAAAGTCACTATTTGCAAAAATTATGGCTGCATAGTAGTATCACCGGGGAGCTTTAAACACTACCAATGCCTATGTCCCACTCCAGGTAGTCTGACTTAATTAGTCTTGAGGAGGACCATGGTTTTGGGAGTTGTAAAGGCTCCCCAGGTGATTCTAGTGTGCAGTCATAAAGAGACCTTAAGATAACTGTATCACAAACCCTGGCACATAGCAAGTACTCAACACAATTTTTTTTTCAAAAAATTAGTATGAAAACAGTCATGCTATCCTGCTTTTGGCTTCACCCCACTTTCAGGGGGACATATTTGGATGAACAATTGGCTTTTATCACAGAGGATTTCAGGTACAAAATCCACCCTCAAAAGATCAGTTTCGACATCCAGAAATCCAGTGCTGCCACTGAGAGCAGGAATCTCCCTTCACATACAGAGAATAGACCTGCCAAACTGCCTGGAAGAGCTGGAGCTACCTGGCTGGTATAGAGGATGAGACTAGGGCTGGAATCTGAGTTCTAAGAGTTACCTGCAGTAGCTGGAAGCATCTTCCATCTAGACATGGCCTAAACTGGTGGCAAGATGGATGCAGAGTTTGGTAAAATGAGGAGCAAGAAGAGAAACGGGAAAAGGAGATGAATGAGAAAGAACCAGGGGAGAAAAGTGAGGGATAAGCCCCACATTTGTAAAATGAGCACTTACCTATCCTTAAAACATTTTTGCCATATCCAGATTTGGGTCAGAGATTGGTGCCCAAAGCCTAGCACCTGTTTTGCTTCTCTTCCAGGGTGTTTATCTAAGGGCGTTGGACACACAAAGAACAAAATTGTGACCCATTGATAGCTATTAAGGTACTTTATTATCCCAATCTAAACCCTGAGAAAGGCTAAGTTGTAGAACATGGCTCAGCCAGAGAACCCCAGGCAAGGAACTCCTTCGTGTGCCCTGTAATGAATCTGAAATGGCCAGGCAGCAGAATGAGCACTGATTCCACCTACTCAATCATTGCATGGATGAGGACCATAGTCATGCTTCTAGCATAAAGGTCAGCAAGCTATAGCCACAGGCTAATTCCAGCCCAACACTTATTTTTGTAAATAAATATGTATTGGAACACAGCCATGCCCATTTGTTTGCTTTTTATCTGTGACTGTTTTCACTCTACAACAGTAGAGTATGAGTTGTTGCAACAGAGACTATGCAACCCGCAAAGCCCAAACTGCTTTCTAGTTGACCCATTACAGAAAAAGCATTCCAACTCCCACTCTAGGAAAAGACTCACCTAGGTTGATTTAACACTTGAGAGACCAGATGCAAGAAAGGTAGAACTGTACATGAGCACTGAAAACAGGGCTTATTGAGGGGTGGATTTTCTGATTAACCTGGTTGCATGTTCCTTCTTGCTCAGGATGGACCTAGTAAGGAATAGATAGGCAAAGGCAAGGTTGATGTATTAAGATGAATGGGGGGTTCTCCTCCTGCCCTGCTGACAGAGAGCTGTGTAGAATGAAGGTTTTGCAAATTGAGTCTCAGAGGTAATGCAAGGGCATAAGCAGGATATTCAGCCTATTCTACTAAAGGCAGGCTAGAGAGAATAATCAAAACGTGGTCTGATCATCATACTTCTGCAGCTTTTCTATAGCCATTTCCACTCCCTTAACTGCCCATCCTCTCTGTGAAATAACTGACTGCACCCTCCCCTGTATTTCCATACCACTTGGCTCATTACTCTTGTAAATCATCCCACGTGCTTGTTGTCTGTCTTATCAGTGGTTGCCCTCCTCTCAAAGTGATTGATGATTTCTGCCTCCTCCCTACCTCTAAGCTCTGGGTGTCTGTGTCTAACTTCCTATTTGACATCAGCTTGGATGTCTAGTAGACATCTCAAACATGGCTGCCATTATTTGTATTTTGAACATGTTTTTTAAAAAAAAGTATGCAGAATTCAGTGCTAGGCACTTTTCTAAGCACTTTATGTACCGAGAACACAACACTTAATTCTTGCCTCTCCAATTCTGTTTCTCTCCCAGGCTTTTCCATCTCCATACATAACATCCCTCTCCACTCAGTTCTGCAAACCAGCGATCTAAGGGTCAGTCTTCATTCCTCTCTGTCCTTCACAGTCAGCACCTATGGCAGATGTGTTGGTGCCCTGTACATGTCCTCTCTATACTCACTGTTCCCATGCACGCCCACCTGATGGCTTCCTCCTGTAAGCACCTGTGACTTTTTGCCTGAGGGCTTGGGCTTCTTCAAGACAGAAGAATATGTACACTCTGTCCACAGAACATGGAAGAAGTGCTGGGGAGTTCCTAAGAGTTGTCCTCAACCAATACTGGATGAGAATTGTTGAATAACCCAACTTCGCACTCCCCCATGGTGGGACAACTCTGAGGCATGAGATGTGCCCATTGGATTATTCCCCCAATTGTGCACAGTTGTAACCTGCTCATCGATGTGCCCTGTATTGACTTCGTTCCCCAGATTGTGCCACTGCCCCATTCTCCCACCCAAACTCCTTGGGACTTTCTCCCAAGCAAATTACTTGTGCCCGACTTCTTATCTCTGAGTCTGCTTCTGAGGCAACCCAAGTCAACAATATTCAACTGAACATCCTGCAAGTAATCACTTCTCAGACGTCCACCACCACCACCCTGGTCTAAGAGTCCACGGTACCATCGTGTGTTACCTGGAGTACAACCACAACTTTCTAACAGATCTCCTTGCATCCTCCATGGCCCTCCCAGAGCCTCTGTTCCATACATGAGCCAGAATGTACTTGGTAATACATGAATCTGCGAAGATGATTCCCCTGCCCAAAACCCTCTAATGGTTTCTTATCACACTTAGAACAATGTCCAATTCATTAACCAGCCATAGCAATGACTTGTATAATCTGGCCTCCCCCATCCACTGTAGATACTTCCATCACTACTTCTCCCCTCCTCACATCACTCCATTCCTTGAAAATGGTCATTTGCTTTCTGCCTGACCATCTTTGCACCTGCTGTTCCCTCTGCCTGAAAAGCACTTTCTGCTTTTCTTGGTGTGACTTTCTCTCTCATATTAAGGAATTACACTATCATGAAGGAATGACAATATCTATCATTAATGAAGTCCCCCTTATCTGCAGTTTTGCTTTTCATGGTTTCAGTTACCCAAGGTCAATCACAGTCAAAAAATATTAAGATATTTAGAGAGAGAGAAAGACTGCATTTATATAACATATTATAGTATATTGTTGTCATCATTCTATTTTATAATTAATCTCTTACTGTGCCTAATTTATAAATTGAACTTTACAGAGGTATGTATGTGTAAGAAGAAAACATAGTATATATGGGGTTCAGTCCTACCCATGGTTTCAGGAGTCCCCACTGGGGGGTCTTGCAACACATCCTCCAAGGGTAAGGGAGGACCACTGTAACTGAAATGTCACCTCCTTGGAGAAGCCCTCCCAGAGTGTATAATCGGAAATAATTTTCATTCCTTATCACTATCGCTTTATCCTGCTTTATTTTCACCACAGCATTTTCATATCTAAACTTTAACATTTTTTTTCATTTGCTACATTTCCTAATTTGCTGGAAGCTCAAGGGGAACTTGTCTGTTTGTCTTTATCCCTAGTACCTAAAATAGTGCCCAGCCCATGTTAGGGGCTCATTAAGTATCTATTGAGTGTATGAATGAATAAATCAGTGAATGGACAAGCGATTTCCTGAACAGGACTAGGTTTTAAACTCATGACGCTGAAGACATCAATTACATGTGAAACAATGAACAAGAATAGGTCCATGGACAGACCAACATCTACATTCTCCCCAGGCCCCATCCAAGGACATCTAGCCTTTTCCACTATGCGTTCCATTGCAGTGGGTCTCAATTCCGTCTATTTAGTTCATCTCCACCTCGGTAAAGCTCCTATCTCAGGCCACTCTAACCACTCTGTCCTTGCTTTTTAGGCCTTACCAGAAGGGCAGACAGCTTCGTGGGACACAGCCAAGGAGGATGAAAACCGCAATAAGAATCGATATGGGAACATCATATCCTGTAGGTACCCTTCTGGGAGTTCCTAAGCTTCAGGTGTTGAGAACATAGGGGAAAAGAGGCTATTACTAGTATTTGCCTGGAATTTGTTATCAAATAGTCTTTGATGTCTCCAGCTTTGTGCCCACATGTCAAGATGGAAGCTTTACTTCAGACTTATTGTCATCCCTAGACTGGATGACAAAGCATGGCTGATCTCAGCCGGAGGGAACAGGCAGGGAGCTGGGTCAGGGCAGAGAAGAACATGAAGCCTCTTGGGGAAGAACCTCTGAAGGCTGGGTCTCACTGAGCATTGCCTGCTCAATTCCTCAGGTCGGGGAGGAAGCCCAGCCAAAAGGGCTGCCATACAGAAGACCCCACAGCTGGACAAAGAGATGAGCTCTGTGTTCCCAGAAGCTCCTCTAATTCAAAGGAGGACTTTGGCAGCAACCAGGGGTGAGGAGCATGGGCCCCAGCCTGAGAGGGAGGGGCCAGGAGCACCTGGACAAGAGAATAGTGCTCCTCCAAGGAGGAGGAGTCACATTGGCTGATGCTTGGAAGTAAAGGTTGATGCTCAGAAACCAGTAACTGGCATATACCTGAGTCTTGGGGTATGCCCAACTCAGGCCCCACAGGAGCCCTGGGCTACTCCTACCACATGAGAGACAGGGTTTAGGGTAACACAGATTCTACCTGACCCCACTATAGGAGGGCAGGGCTCGAAGGTGAAGGCTGCTCTCAGGTCTGCATCAGTGCAGCTCTGGAGGTACTGAGCCTGCAGGGAGAAAGCACATTCTCATGCAGAGCTGGGAAGGACATTGCCTTTCTCAGCAATGAGTTTGCCCTTTCTCATAGGCACCCCCAGTGAGTGACTCATTGATGAAGTCAGTGGTGCACAGCAGTTAGTTACCACCCTCTGGAGTCAAACTGCCCAGGTTTCTATCCCAACTGTAGGGCCCTGGGAAAGTTACTCGACCTCTGTCAACTTTAGTTTCCTCCCCTTTAAAATGATGACGATAATAGGGTCACTGCAAAAAGGTACATAAAACTCTTGCTCCGGTGCCTGGCGCCATTACTGTTAGCCACAGGGTTACTTCCTTGAGGTTACTGATTAGCAGCATAAATCTATCATTCCACTTTATTTTATTAACTAGAATTCACCAAGTAATCGGGACATGTCCTGTGGGAACATGGAATAAGGCAGGATGGTGGGGAGAGGTGAGCGTGATCAGATATCCATTTTTTTTCTTTTTTTTGAGACGGAGTTTCGCTCTTGTTACCCAGGCTGGAGTGCAGTGGCGCGATCTCAGCTCACCGCAACCTCCGCCTCCTGGGTTCAGGGAATTCTTTTGCCTCAGCCTCCTGAGTAGCTGGGATTACAGGCACGCACCACCATGCCCAGCTAACTTTTTGTAATTTTAGTAGAGACGGGGTTTCACCATGTTGACCAGGATGGTCTCAATCTCTTGACCTCGTGATCCACCCGCCTCAGATATCCATTTTGGAAAGATCGCTAGGGTAGCAGATACGGAAGGTAGGTGCATTTGATTGGGAAAGGCTAGTAGCAGAGGGATCAGTCAGCAGACCACTGCAATAGTCTTACCAAGGGATGATGGGGCCTGAACCAAAACAGTGACAATAACTTGTGTGACAGGTGCATAGTATTCAGTTCTGGGAGGTGAGGAAGAGAGAGACTGCCACAGAACTGAATGCCACGTGTATGTAACATGCAAGTTTTGTCACTGCCAAATATTGGTAGGTACAGCCTTCAAAGTAACATAAATACAGAGAAGCCAAAGTTATCTCGTACAAAACACTAAGCCTGTATTCTGATTAGAACAGGAATCTACAACGGCCTTTGTCTGACTCAGTGTTACCCACCTGCACCTCTTGGCATCTCACCAATGGTGTGGGGAGCATCCCCTGGTCTCAGCTCGCAGAGTAACCCAGTTCATCCAAAAGAGAAAAAAAAAAAAGAATCCTGAATGACAAGTTATTTCTAGCACAATTCAGAGTTTTGTTTTGTTTTGTTTTGTTTTAACTGTCTAGACATTGCCTAAGAAAAAACTTGGAGGAAGAAAGAGTAAGATCCAGGCAGATTGTAAAGGAAGAAAAAGGCAGAAGTTTTAGCTTAGCTGTTTCCTGTGCTGATTTAGGAATGGGCTATGAATGGTAGAACTAATCAGAAAACATTTATAATTTGTCTCTTGGAAGACAGTAATTCAGACAGTAAGAGTTCTTGCAAGTGAAGTGTTGAGAAGTGATATTCAAACAATCAGCAAACATATATTAAGACTTGTGACACGGGGCCTCCTTTAAGCAGGCCCTGTGATGGGCATTGAGGGGTGTAGTTCCTGCTCCTGGGGAGCCCCCACTCCACCACAGGGAACTGCTTGCCCTGACTGGTCCCTGGCATTCTTTGCTCCTGCACTGTGTATACTGTGCCCTAAAATATATAGTCACTTATTTATTCTCTGTATCAGACTGTGAGTTCAGATAGGGTCTATAAAATTATATGTGACCTTAGTCAATCACTCCAACTCTTACTCTCTGTAAAACAGGTTTTAAAATGTCTTTCTCCTAGGGATGTGGCACAGATAAAAAAAAATGACAGCCCAGCGGAGTGGCTAACGCCTGTAATCTCAGCACTTTGGGAGGCTGAGGCAAGCAGATCCCTTGAGCTTAGGAGTTCAAGACCATCTTAGGCAATGTGGCAAAAACTCCTCTCTACAAAAAGTACAAAACGCTAGCTGGGCATAGTGGTGCATGCCTGTAGTCCTAGCTACTCAGAGGGCTGAAGTGGGAGGATCACTTAAGTCCAGGAGGTAGAGGCTGCAGAAAGCCATGATTGCATCACTACTTTTCAGCCTGAGTGAGAGAGTGAGACTATCTTAGGAAGGAAGGAAGGAAGGGGAGGAAGGGAAGGAAGGGAAGAGGAAAAGAGGGGAAAGGGGGAGGGAGGGGAAGAGGGAGGGAAGGGAAGAGGAAGGAAAGGGAAAGAGAGAGAGAGAGAGAAAATTTTAAAAATGACTAGGGCACAGTAAAGGGACCCTGAATCCTTGAGAGACACGGATACCCACCCAAGCTGGGCTACCTATCCAGCCCAAGCCTAGTGGGGCCTGAGGTCAGAAGGCATGTTCTGTAATGTTCTGTATCTCCCCTGGGCTGCCACGCAGCAGGCTGCCCCAAATCATCATCAGCTCTCACTTGACACTGCCCAGCCTCCTTTCTGGTTGCTCCACAGCTAATTTGTCCCCAGCTTTTTGCCTGTCTGATATCTGATAGAAGCCACAAAAACTTCTTTGAAACATGAATTGGATGATGTCATTTTCCTACTGAAAACCCTTCAAATGATATTCCTTCACTCTTCAGTTTTCCTGATAGAAAGGCCCTCAGCCGTCTCTCCAGTCTCGTTTCATACTCTGCCTTCTCTATCACAGCCTCCTCCATGAAGCCACACTGGCTTTCCTTCAGGTCCTTGAATGCCCCATGCCCTTCCATGTGACAGGGCCTTTGCACATTCTGTTCTATAAAAGTGCCCTTCCTTCTTCTCTTTGACCTCCTAAGGTCCATATTTTCTTCAGATCTCAGCTCAGTCATCCCTTGCTTAGGGAATTCTTCTGATCCTTCAAATATGTTCAGAACCCTACTATTCACTCCTAGAGCACAATGTCTGTCTTCTTAGCCTTCGTCATTATTGTGGCTTGGGAGGCATTTGGAGGAATGTTGATGCCCATCTCCGTCACGAGAATAGATACTCCGTGGCGGCAGGACCACGACTGCCTTCCACTTCGGTTTCCTCCCATCTGACCTATAGCTGGTGCCCCGTTAATAGGAACTGAATGTGAGACAGACTCTAAAGGGCATGAGCAGGGGTGTCTTCTCTCTGCTTCCCAGCTATTATAGAGAACACCTGGAAAGGAGGATTGGGGAAAGTCGGGCGCAGTGGCACTTGGAACAATGATGTTCCAGTAAGGAAGAAGATACAGAGCCTGAATGGAGAGTGGTGAGATGGGGCACAGGAGACACAGGAGGACAAGAACAGTCTAACCCCTCTGAGAGCTGCTTCTGAGAAGGCAGCATTCCAGGAAGTCAGGAAAAATAATGAAGGCGATGAGAACGCCAGCACTGGAATTGCAGAAGGTGCCATCAGTGTCCCACCTACTTCCCACGGCCTCACTGTGAGCAGCACCCAGCTGGCAGGGTGGGTGTGCAGAGCCAGGATGAGGGTGAGACATGCAAGGAGATACCCACGCTCAGCTGTTGACCCTGCATGGGCACAACTCTGGGAGCAATCTCCTCCTTAAAGCCTATGCCTGAGGGCTCTGAGCTCATTTCACCCTAGCCCTGCCCTTCCTGCATCTCTTAGACTGAGGACTTTCTCCAAAGCTGGGAAAGGAGGCCCTGCCCAGGCCTAGGCAGCCTGCAAATCGTGAAGCGTTAATACCCCCAGGAGAAACCCTCCACCACCAAATACCCCAGCTTCTTCACCGTTCCCCTGAAGCATACGTTCTCCACCTTCCCCCAGAGTTCCCACAGGGATGAGGATGCAGCTACCCGCAGTCCTAACGGGCTTGAAAACTCACCCTTAATAAGCTGCCTTCTCTTCCCTGTCATACATCCCCCCTTTCTGACTGGTATTCCTGTCTCCTCCTACATAAACTGCTTGGACTAAAATCTCTGTCTTAGATCTACTTCTGAGAAACCCAAATGGAGGCAGAGAGAATTCAAGCACCTTGACCATACCACGTTGATGTTTTAAATCAACCAGAATCTTCCTAATTTAAGGGTTAATAATTCTGCAAGAGATCAGGGCCAGAGCAGGTCTGCATTCGGCGCTGAAAGGGGACAGTGCCGAGGTAACCAGTGAATTCAGAAAGCAGCACAAGACACAAAGGGGAATAAAGAAAAAAAAGGAAAATAAAATAAAAAAAAAAATCCCTGGAATCGAAATGGGATATGTAAAAAAGAAACAGCCCCGAGGAATGGAAAGTGTTCCTGCCCTTGTATGTGTCCCTCCCAAAGGCAAAGCCTGCCGCAGCTTGATAAATAGAAATATTCTTGGTGCAAGAAGAAAACTGGCTGTGATTAGCATCTTAAGGAACCCAGAGCACTGCCAGGCTGGAGTGGAGGACAAAGGCCCAGGCCAGGAAGAACAGAAAAGATTAAAGGGGACGAGTAGGAGGGAGGGCACTGCTCACAAATGGAACAACGAGAGACCTTGGCGAAATAGCCCCTTTCTTCCAAGTGATTCTATTTAGAATTTAGTCAGAGACAGTGGGGTTTCTAGGGAGTGGAAATGGAAAGGAAGTGAAAGAGAAGGAAATGAATGGGTAAAATAAGAACAAAGAGTCCTTTGCTTCCAAGTAACTCTAGGGCAGAGACTTGGCAAGGGGATATTAAAGAATCCCAAAGCCTTCTCCATGTAAAGTTTTAGAGGTGCTTTCTGGACTGGC